CCTGCTGAAGAAGCCCGAGTCTACCACCCAGGGAAGATGCAGGAAGAGTCAGGGGTCACAGGGATGGTGTGCAAAGGGGCACACCCTCCCCTTAACTCCTCTGCCTCGTTTCAGAATGGTTCCAAGGGATCCCTGCTTTATTCCTGAGACAGCTGGCACACAGTCAACTGAAAAACCAGAGCCAATGGGAAAAAAGTAGTGATTTTTTTCAGAAGTTTATTGATCAGTAGACTGGGTCTTTTTTTGACATTTCTAAACAAGATTACAAAAAAACAGAAGCATTGTGTATTAATTGCATTGGCTAATTGACACGTCACCTGGTATACTCTTAGATTCTGCCCATGTTTACCTGGAAAAACTCAGTGGTTATCTGTCGTAAGAAAGTTATTTGCCACATGCCATGGAGGAAATAAACAGTGCCTCCTTAAATGCTTTTCTTATCTCCAAGGCAATCTGTCCAGGGTATTGTTCTGGGCATCAAGGAGTGTAGCCATAAAGCGGGAAGGTTCTGGTGGTGGCTGTCAGGCCATGACTCTGGTGGTTAAACCCCATCCTAGGCGGCAGGCTCCAGTACAAGACATTCCCAGTGTGGTGCAGGGGCGGCCCCCCAAGACCCAGCAGACATAGCAAAGGACCGTGGTTGGGACAGTGGGGCCAGGGCTCTGCTGAAGCCTCTCCTGCGGGCTTGTAAGGCGGGCAGTGGTTGGGGGAGAGCACGAGGCATTTGGCTTCTCCTCACATGCTCTCTGACCCACCTGTACACCAGTCCCATGAGATGGAGTAAGAATCCAACTCCTTAAGGCCCACAGCTCTGTGGGAGGAGTCACAGCCCCCAATCCAGGCATTATTGCTGCATGATGACAAGTGTTCTGGAGAAGCCACTCCAGCCCTGGAGAAGTGAAAGCCAAGTGAATGCCTGGCCCTCCCCACAGAAGAGCAGCCCCAACCTGGGTCATCCAAGTGTGTGTGATGAGGAAAGACTCCATGTAGGATGCCAAGCGGGTTGGACATCAGCGTGTGGCTGCAGAGCTGGGGGATCTCGGCAGGTCTCAGTGCAATGCTTCTGTGCAGACGGACTCAGGAGGGCCTCACCAGCAGGCTCACAGTTTGGAAGTCAACTTCGGGAGGAGTAGGCAGAAGTTTTCATCTTTTTCCCCCTAAACTCAAGACTGCAGAAGTTTGTGTTGTGCGATACCGTGTGCTGTACAGAAAACAGACTCAAGATTCTTAGGTTTTCTTCTGTGAAATCATGGAGAGCATGAAGATAGTTTCAGAGTTCTGGAGTTTACTTACTTCCCCGGCCCATCCGTGAGTACTCTGCAGAGGGGGTACTTGGACAGTGGGGTGGTGCAGGGAAGACAATACGGTCGGTCCTGGTGCCCAGATCCCAAGGGCTCCGTGTTCCCGGCCCTGCTGCACGGGGTCAGGGGATAACGGGTGTTTTGGACACAGACTCGAGGAACTCTGTGCGGGTCCTGGGACGATATGGGTCCTCGCTTGGCCGCCATCCCTAATGTCTTCCAGTGTTTTTCTTTCCAATCAACTGTTTATGATGGGTGACTTCAGGTTTTAAGAGAAGATATTGAGAAAAATGGACATGTGACTTCCTTTTTCTTCCTTTTTTCTCAGCATTCAGCTGCCAGATGTTCTCCCACCAGAGGTCATGGGGGTAGGGTGGGGATCACCCATGAGGTGCTTCCATCCACGTAGAACCAGAAACCTCCTCTGCGGCTCCTCTGAAACAGTATTGCTCTACATCCATATATAGACAAAATTTGCCCATATGTACATATATACACATTAACAAGTGGCCAAAGTACATACTCTTGTGACATACGTGTATATATTTATCTTTATATATGACAACTGAGCTGAGTTAAAGAAGCAAGATGATTGTGAATGGAAATAATCTAACCTTGGCATCTCTATACCTTTGGACAAATGAACTCTCTCTCCTCCTCTCTCAACCTTGCCCTCTGCTGGATCTGCTGCGCTTACACGCCTGTGTGGTCCTCGTGCATTCACAGAACTATCTGCTCAGATTACAGTACTGGAATTACAAATATCTCTTTTCTATGTGTCTAATTAATTTAAAAGTACTCACTAAGACTAAAACCATGTTATGTATTTACTGCTCTTAAAACTAAATTATGTAGAAAGTAAGCTAGGGAGTGTGAGGGCTGGCACCTGGATAAATGCTTCTCTAAAGTAAACATTTTCTTAAGTCTGCTGTTCTGCCCCTGATGTCGCAAGTGACACCAGAAAAAAAAAAAAAAAAAAAAACAACGAGTGTTTTGGGAGACTTAGGTGTGACTGTTTGGATTTCACTCATTTTTGGTGCCGGCAGCGTCCCAGGCTATGCAGCCATCACAATAGTGATGAAATATCATGTCTCTCTTATTGCATAAATAATGGTGAAAGGCACCTGCACCCCCCATCTGGAGCCCACACAGTTGGGAGGGTGACCTCCACTGGACACAGGCATTTGGGCAAGTGGTCCAGAGAGGTTCACCCAGGGCACCCAGGGAGGGAACATCAGGAACTGATGTACAGGTAAGGGCCCAGATCCTACCTCGTGAGGCATTCATGGTATGAACCACACAGCCTTTTGAAGAAAAGGCTTTATATGAAAGATTGCATCTTGTTTCTGTATAAAGGCCTTTATCCTTTATATAGAAACTATATTTAAAAAACTAGTCATAATAAAAATGCCTATTTTTTATAAAAATAGTGTCTAACGCTAGTAGACTGACCTCTTCTATCTGACAGCCTGCCAGCTTGGGCTGGGCCCCCCATCCCCTCTGTGGCCACAGGGCCAGGACACTGCATGCACCAAGCCATGTTTGTTCTGGATTTAAATCCTGCCATTGACCAAGGAGCCTTGGGGACGTGTAACCACGCTAATTGAAGACTGGGGAGAACCACCGCTTTTCTTACTCTAGTTTAAGTACCATAAACTTTGCTACAACCTATTGCCAGACAAGTAACTTAAGCTAATCTTCAGATTTCAACATGACTTGAAATGAATACTAGAACTCTTGCCAGGGGTTAATAAAGGTTGTGAGTTCCAAATTTCTAACCAAATACAACTTTGCTGGGAAGGCCCCCAGGTTGGGGGAGCCCTGGGAGGGCCGGCCAGCAGGCGCTGGGATGGATGCTCCCTGTGGCCTGGCCGCGGGCTCTGCGGGCCTACAGAAGGGACGGGGACGTGCAGAAATGGTGCGTCCTCCTCTCAAAGCTGGGGCAGCAGTCTTCTCTTTGGTAGACAGTTTGGAGAGAACAGAAACCTTCTCAGCTGTTTTTTTTTTTTTTCACTCTAAATAGAGCAAGAGACAAAATAAATAAGCTCGTCTTTGCTGCTTCCCGGTGCCCTCTGAGGGACAGCCAGGTTCAAACTGATGGACAGTCCAATGAATCCCAGCAGAGCCCCCAGCTGACACCCCCTGGCTCCTGGGATTCCACATCTGGGCTTCTCTAGGCTTTGGAGGATTCCTTGGACGATTTCCCTTTCTTCTCAACGCTTCCATCCCTGTATCCACCCCGTCCCCCCAACATTTTAGTAGAAACTCTGGGAATTTTAAGGTGAAAGGATCTCATCTAGTGTCCAGTGTCTGCCCTCCCCGTTCTACAGATGGGGAAACCGAGGCACAGAGAGGGCAGTGTCTTGCCCAGGGTCGCTCGGTGAGTCAGTGGCAGCGTGGGCCTCTGGCCCAGGCCCCCCGATTCTAGCCCCACACCGCCCTCCCTGTGCGCGGCCTGCCCCTCAGTCAGCCTTCGGCAAGGATTTCCTGTGGGAGGGTGGCACGAGGTGCGGGGGCAGGCTGTTGGGCAGTTCGTAGCCATCGAGCTTGATCTTGATGAGGTGCTTGGCCAGTGCGAACTCCTCCTCATCCAGCATGCCGTCGCAGTCATAGTCGGCCAGCTTCCAGATCTTGCCCAGGACGCTGTTGGGCAGCTTGGAGGTCACCATCTCCTTCTTGGCGTTGACGCCCGATATCTTGCCGTTGACGGGCGACAGGGTGTAGAAGAGCTCATCGTAGACAGGCTTGTCTTTGGCCACAACCCACTCCTCCTCATCGGCGCCCTCCTTGGCGCCCTCCCCGTAGCCCTGGTTGAAGGGGCCCTCGGCCGTGCCGTCGAAGGCACCGCCCTGCACCAGCTGTGTGGGCATGCTCGTCTCCTCCTGGCTGATGATGCTTATCAGGGACGAGATCTTGTTGCTCAGCATGTTGTCCACGGCCTCGATCAGCTTGGGCTTCAGCGAGTGGAATTTGGTGAAGTCGTAGCTCTCAAGCTGTTCCTGGAAAAGGAGAAACCACGGACTTGGTTAACATCCTCCCTGCAGGAAGCAAATGAGGAGAGGGATGGCTGGAGGGGACAAATGCTTCCTTAAAGCAGGCAGCCCATGCTCTGTCCAGAGCTCTCTCTCTTTGGTGGGGTCCCCACATCCGAACCCACCAGACATAGGAGTGGCTTTTGGAACAAGAGACGAGATGCATGGGATGCAACATTTTCCTACAGTAGCTAATCTGGGCTGGCAGTGGCATGAGGGATGGTGATCCCCTAGGGCTTTGAGACAAAATTCCTTCACCCTGTCTTTTTTTTTAAAAAGCACTCTAGAGATCTACTATTTTATCTTTTAAAGTATTTTACCTACCTTACATACTTCAGTTGATTTTCACAACAATGCTGGGAGTCAGGAAGGGCAGGTATTAATAACCCCATTTCACAGAGAGCACAAGGGGTGTCCTGGCGGAGTCAAGACAATAGCCCATGCCTCCTGCCGCTCGACTAGCCTCTTTGTGCTGTCATGAAGCTGCGACAGAGCTGTCAGGAGAACTTATTTAGGTAAAATGATTATTTAAAGATGACGTTGATCAGTTAAAAAAATGTAGTTTAGGGTACAAATAGGTACAAGTTGAAATTGGAAAGAGAGAGAGGAGTTGGGATGGGAAGGGCAAGTATAAATGCAGCCAGTAGAGCTGACTAGTACTAGCATGGTCAGGGCAGGTCTCGGCTGCATCTCCCAGGACAGCTGGGAGGAGCAGACAGAGCACAGGGTTTGCAGATGGCCCTAGGGGACGCGGCAATGGCCTGGCCAGGATGGGAGCCAACTGTAGATGCCACAGAGGCTCTGTGGATGGCTCTGTTGAAAGAGTCCTTCCTGCCTTGGTTACCCTTCCTTCCTTCCTTCCTTCCTTCCTTCCTTCCATCCATCCATCCATCCAACATTTACTGACCATCTGTTATGTGCCAGGCCCTGTTCTGGGCTATAAATATGAAAAGCCACAGTCTCTGCCTTCAGGGAGCTTATATTTCAAAAAAGCTTGACTTAGTTTACAGTAAAACAATGATAACATGAAATAGAAGAAAGTCATGAACAAAGGGAAAAGCCAAGTAATTGAAAGGAAGAGGAGGGGAATCATCACATCAGATAATGAAGGCTGAGAAAAGCTACACTCCTCAGCTGCCCTGGCTGGGGAGCCGGGCGGCGGCGGGGGGGGGGGGGGGGCCGCCCCCCCCCCTGCCGATGCAGGGGACGCGGGTTCGTGCCCCGGTCCGGGAGGATCCCACATGCCG